ACATTTATTATTAATTTTAATTCTAACTCCTCACAGTTGAGTGCTCGTGTGTTTATTGTGGTACTTCTGACTTTCTCAGGCCTTTCCTCGCCTAGTTTCATCATTAACTCATCAAATTTGTGGGCTGTAGGAGGAAGTCTGATGCCGCCATTAAACATGTGACTTACTAGAGGCGCATACAGATGAGGTAATAAAAGGGCGGTTTACCACACCGCTAACCACACCCACTTTAGGCAGGACTAAAGACTTATACGGCTGGACGTAAAGACGTATACGTACGTAGGCGGAACTACGTCACTAGCCAAGCCCACTTTTGGGCATGGCTAGGGGCGTTACGGGGGAAGGCATAAAAGACAGCGCACAGGAAGTCTCGCTCTCTTTTCCTGGAGTTCGGCTTCCGGTCCAGTCGCTAGCTGAGATCTGCTGGGCTTCTCTGGGTTTGGTAACTTCCAACAGTGGGCCAGTTGTATGACTTGCTTATGCTGATGGTGAGATGCTTTCTTATAAGTTTTGACTCCTAAGCTGAGCACACCAAGGTAGGGTTGGCTGTGGTTGGGTTCACATGCACTAATGTAGGGTTGGCTGTGGCTGGGTTCACACATGCTCTCAGGTAAGGCTGACTGTGGCTAGGTTGACACAGGTTAAGGAAGGGTTGGCTGTGGCTGGGTTCACACATGCTCTCAGGTAAGGCTGACTGTGGCTAGGTTGACACAGGTTAAGGAAGGGTTGGCTGTGGCTGGGTTCACACATGCTCTCAGGTAAGGCTGACTGTGGCTAGGTTGACACATGTTAAGGAAGGTTGACTGAGGCAGGGTTCACACATGCTTTGATGTAGGGTTGACTGTGGCCAAGTTCACACGCGCTCTGAGGAGAGGCGACGGTGCTCTGTGCTTTTGGTGATTCTGAAGGCAGCTGTATTTCTCTGAGGTAATTTTGTTTCAGCAAATGGCAGGAAAAGCAATATTAAAATGAGAAATGAAACAAAAGTGTGGTTCCCTAGTGCCACCGGAGGTGTTCTCCGGCAATGGTAAAGTACCAAAGTAATACATTTTCTAAAATATTTTGTGTAATCTAATCTTGTTTTAAAAAAAAATTAATGAAAGTCAGTCTCCTAAACGCCTGAACTAAATGCTGTGTGTTCTCAGTTGTCCTTCCTGATATCCAAAACAGTAAATGTAGCATCTGCAAACCCCAGAGTCATGTGCTCAGACCTCATGGGACCCCAAGGACAGAAGCCAGATGTTTGCAGGTTCAAAACCTTCTATAGTTTTTAATGTAAGAAATGTTAGCAGTGACTTTGATGGAACCCAAGGCTTCCTGTATGCTATGAAAGTATTCCACCACTGAGTCATCCGCAGGCCGCCAGCAGCATCCCCTAACCCCATGCTTATATGATCCCTGTGCCCTCCAAAGACTTCCCTAAGTAGAGGACATGCCTCATCCTTTGTGATTCTGATGTTTTTGTCTGATGGCCAGGCTCTCTCACATGCCTTCTCATCACTCAATTCACCTGTCTTTTGGGTCTGTAACAAATCGCACCCATGCATTTGTCTCGTTAATGGGTCACGGTGAGCTCTGCTCTTCTTTCCGATCATCATATTTATCTGGCATATGTAAACAGTGCTCCTTCACGTAGACCGTTAGGTATTCTAATTTCAGTTCATACCGTATTTCTAGGAAGGAAGAACTTGGCTGGATACTCAATCCTTCCAGGTCTTTGCCATTTGACCGTGACGATGGGTTGATGGGTGCTTCCCAGACTAAAATGAAAAGAGTGGTTAGGAAAGACAGAACCTCCAAAAACTTGAGGAGGATTTCAGAAGTTACAACACTTGTGTGATTCCAATACCAGAGAGAGAGAGACAGAGACAGAATAAGAGAAAGAGAGGAACTGTATAAAGGGAGTATAAAGGCCAAAATGTTCCAGAATCAAGGGCAAGTCATAATCACAGATCTAGGAAAGTCAGAGACTGCCAAGGAAGACTGAAAAAGAAAACCGTCCCTAGTCATAGCTTATGCAAATAGGAGAAAGCCAAAGGCAAACAGGAAGTCCTGAAAAAATGGAGTCAGAGAAAGAAAGCACATTACCCACCCAAGACAAAGAAAATGACCTCAACAGACAAATGAGGTGACCCCAGTGGACTGCTTTCCACAAAGCAGCTCAGCAGTGACTGGAGGGAGGTGCTTAACAGTGGAGCTCTGTGACACTGACATGGTCCTTCTCTGTGGCAAAAGCTGAGGGACTCAGTGCAAGAAATCCTGCCCCCCCCCAGGAAGTGTTGAAAGACGGCCCTGAGGGGGAACAGCCACAAGCTCTGAATGAGTGACAGCAGGACTTTGACAGACTGAAGGAACGATTTAGGAACCCTTCATTAAAAGGTGAAGACAGCACTGGCAGTACCCACCTAGTAGTGTAATGTTATTTGAAGATGTACTGAGATGAATTGAAAAAAATATGTATTAAAAACACCAGAGCAGTCTCTAAATAGTATATGATACAAGTATAATTGTTATGATGAGAGGAGATAAAATGAAATCATGTAGAATGCTCAAATAAGTCAGAGAAGACCCAAAAGGGGTGTGATAATTAACAAAAAATAGAACAGATGGCAGAGGTATAAACATGGTAGATATTAATCCAACAGAATCAATAATCACTTTAAATGTTAATGGTCTAAATATACCAATTAAAAGAATAGTCTTAAAAAAATACCCTACTGAATGTTTATAAGAAATCCACTACGAAGGCTCAAGGTGTTGGAGAGAAATACACTGTGCGAAGTCATAGGAGTAGCTGCATTAATCCCACACAAAGCCGATCTCAAGAGCATCCTGAAGGCTTAACGGAAAGGCATTGTGTACAGAAAATAGACTGTTACTTCAACAAGGTATAAGAGTCCTCAATAAGTCTATTCTTGGGGAGATGGCTCAGTGATTAACGGCCCATGATCTCTGGCACTTAGAGCGTTGTGGGCTTCTGTGGGCTACAGCCCCAAACTCTTCCACAGAGGTCCTACTTAGGCCTCCATTCCGTCTGTGCTTGCGTGATCCTGGAGGGATTTAGGTGTTTTCACACAGATTTTCCCTTTTGATGCCTCCATAATTCGGTGAAGCACCTAGGGATTCTTTAGACCCCTTCTAGAAAGGAGGAAGATTGAATTTGCATATTAACCATAAGAGCCAGAGCCAGACATCAGGCCTACTCCCAACCCTTTCTGTGATTCCTCTAGGGTTGCCATGGTTTGGAAGGCAAGGGTGTGGATTTGCTGCGTTTATGTAGTGCTTTCATGGTATGTGACTGAAGGTGTGTCTACTTGGGCCTTTCTGTGCACAGAACAGTGTCTTTTCAAACCGAAACTATAAAGAAAAATTTCCTCTGTTTCTTCCTTCATGTTCTGTCCCACATTTCTTTGATAGATTCTGAGAGACTCAAATTAATTTTAAACATTGTTCCACAGATTGTTTGTATGGGAGCTGTGAATTTGTACCTAAGTGTGCCTGACAACCTCGTGTATATTTGTTAAAGTCTAAGTCAGTCAGCTTGTTGTGAGGATATAGAACATGGACTTTCATCCACAAGTATAATCCATTTAAACTGATAAACAAACTTGATCATATTAATGGGGTGAGCATGTGATATTTCAGTGTGTGTATTCCTTGGGTAATAGTCAAATCCCTGTGACTCTGTTTTCAGTCATTTGTCATTTCTTCATGGTGAAAGCTTTCAAAGCTCACACTCCATGTGGATGTGATACCCCTGTGAAACTAGACTCCGGAACTTCCTTCTCTGGCAGTGTCTCGTGGTCCCATACTGTGCATGGATGGGTTGGGTTTCAAACATTGCTGGGCTAGGTACCACATGATGGAAGGACTCTTTGTTTTGACTGATGGTGCGGCCTCAGATAAATGGGACAGTTCTAAAAGACAAGCTAAGGTAGAATGCTTTAGCTGAAATCACACAGACACAGACACACGCACAGACACAGACACACATGCGCGTGCACACACACACACATGCACGCGCACACACACAGACACAGACACACGCACGCGCGCACACACATACACACACACAGTTGGGAGGCCTACTTCATTAATACCAGCTTCAGCTGTGCCATGTGCTTTCCACTGAGTGCGAGAGAATGAGGGGACATGAGTAGGCCCTCCACAGTTCTGTGGGAAAGTGTCAAGACACATGGCAGTGAGCATAGGGCATAAAATTGTTTTTATTCATCTCAGTTATGCATTAAACAAACCAACTTGATTTTAATTGGCTGTGAAATATGGAGACAAGAATACTAGAGTCTATGAGAATCTATCGATTGGCTAATTTAGTTTATCTGATGGTGAAGAGAGATAAAATTCTAAGAGGTTTTTTCATTTCACACATGTGTGATATGTTCTGATTGCTCCCCTCACTCTTCCTTATACCCCGCCCTCCCTTCTGTCCCCCCAGCACCCCCAGCCATTAGCACTTCCTTCTGTTCCCCTTTCCTGTATTTGTGTCTTTGTGTTTTGTTTTGTGACCCACAGATTTTAAGCAGGGCCATGCAACTATGGCTTTAGAACTGTCCCTTGGAGCCTGGTGGACTTAGCCATGGGTAATCAACCAAAAACAATGACTGTCCCTCCCCAGAACCCACCAGTAGCAAGAAGTTCAACGGGGGGGGGTAGAGCCCCATCCGTGACTGACGAATGATGGGCTCAGCCTTGTACAGGCCTGGTCGTGACAGCCTTTGCTTCTGTGGGACATGACTGCAGTGACTGTGTTGTGCCCAGAAGGTGACAGTTTGCAGGCCTTCTCCCTTTTTTCTGGCTCTTACATAAACAGAAATATTTTAAAGGTAGATTTTTGTTTCAGTTTTTTCACATAATTACCAAAAAGTGAAGTCGTCCCTTGGGAGAAGGGGGGGGGTTTGCACATAATTCACTTCTTTCAGTGACTTAAGTATAAAGTAAGTTTTTAATTAACCTTCGTGTTTTTCTTGCTTTTGTTTTAGGATCAGATTTTATTAAGACTTCCACTGGAAAAGAAACGGTAAATGCCACCTTCCCAGTAGCGATCGTAATGCTACGAGCTATTAGAGATTTCTTCTGGAAAACTGGAAACAAGGTACGGTATTGCCAGCAGATCTCCCTTCAAAGTGAAGAGAATGCTATTTATAACCCTCCCCACAGCCCACACCATAACGATAACGTCTCCCTGTGCAGAAGGTGTGAATGAGTCGCCTTTATTAAGATAAATGTTTAATTTACCTTTCATTACAAAAGGACACCTCGGTGGGGGAAAGTGTGTGATTAACAGTGAGTGTGAGCGTGGGAGCGTGTGTGTGTGTGTGTGTATGTGTGTGTGTGTGTGTGTGTGAGTGATCAAGAGGTAAACTTACTGTGTCCTTTTATTAACCGAAGACAATTTTATCACTGACGAGAGATTCCTAAATGGGTTCTTTAAGGAACTAATTGTGCTGCGACACAGAGCTTTTTCTGGCAAGGCATTGGCCAGTGAAAACAGGTTAATGTAGAAATTTAACTTCCTCTCGGAATGGAAAGAATCTCGGAGTAACATTTATTGAATGATAAGCTGTGGTGGTGATATGAAAAGTAGGCAGTATAATGGGAAATAATCTTTTCCTGTCATTATTGAAGGACACACATAAATTGGTTTTTCTGTTGGGAAACCCCCAGTCCAGAAAAACTTATTACTTTTAATAATATGAGGTGAAGAGAAAATTCTCGAGGAGATGAACTTATTAAACAGAATAATGAAATACCACGAAACAGCAGGAAAATGGTAGCTTTCTGTCCTATAGCTCTTGAATTAAATATCCATTTTTTTTTAACGTTTTATGGCAGTTGGATGTGCTATTTGGGAGAGTGTTGAGCTGAGGAGGGTATAGGCTAGCTTTTGTCAGCTTTCCGAAGAATAACACAGAATTTTTTGAAACATACAAAGTTAAAAGGGAAAAATGCATACAAAGTGTTTCTTAAAAACTGGATTTGGATTTTCCACTTCAAGTTGCTTGTCTAGCTACAAATTATCTATGAAGGATTTTTTACTCATAGTTAGAAAGGTGTGTGTGTGTGCATGTGAGTGTGTATGTGTGTGTGAGTGTGAGTGTGTATGTGTGTTCAATATAGTGAGATTCCCTTCCTGAGGGGCATCAATTGAAAACCAGTATCTTGCTTTCTGCCATCTAGAACCTCCCTCAAGAAGGACCTTTAATGCTTTGTCTGGGGGATGGGATGTCTCTATGGCTTCATGAGTGACTGTAGCTTAGATTTATTTTGGGATTGGAGACTTACATGGACTATGCCCCTTGTGAGAGGAAATAACCTCCCAGAGTTTTCTCTGAAGGAGCTCACGTTGTTAAGTGCAGGTAGGGAAAACCCATTGCTACCTTCAGAGGATACCGGTCCACCTTACTGGTCTCCTACTGGTTGTTCTCTCTGCACTGATACAAATCTGACAATTTAAAGAACATTGTTTTGTTCTCAGAGAAAAGCTGTGTAAGCAGCAGCTCATCCTCCTTCAGTTGTGACTGTGACCACCATTAGGCCCATGCCACTCACCCCTAAAGTCGTTTTGCGAACCGATTCTGCTGGGTCACAGAAGGTTTCTGATAAGTCATTGGCCTGAGAACATCAAAGTCAGATACTCAACTTGCCATGCAAGTGGAATTCCCGGGCTCCCAGTCTTGACAGCCATGGGTCTGGAAGAGTCCCTTGGCATCCGTGTTCCATGAGCTCCACCTTTGGGGTAAAGCATGCTGTTGGGAACCAAAGAAATAGTTCCCAAGTGGGTGATTGTGGGCCGTGCTGTGTTAATTTTCAGGTGTGAACACAAACAAGTCCCCTCCTATGACACCTCTCAGACAGCAAAAAAACAGATCTCAGAGAACAGAAGTGCTCAGTGGTCCAGGCCAGAGTTTGGATGATTTTTGCCAGTCTTTGAATCTGTGTTTGTTTGCTAGTTCTCAGCAGTGGTTTGAAGTACCGTGTTCCTGCTGAGCTGGCTGCCTCATGTAGGGTGAAGGCAGGGGCCCCACTCCGTGAAAGGACGGAGGGTAGGGAGAGCTGTGGAATATCCCAGGGTGAGAAGGCAGGCTTGGCAGGAGCACGCCTGTGTGATGGCTGCAGTGGCCGGGTGGCCGCGGAGTATCAGAGCAAAGGCAGCGGTCATGTTTGCCAGGTTCTCCAGCAGGTAGAGTGGGGGAAGGGCTGCTCCAGCCGGTCTCTTCCTGGGGCTGGGTGGGATGGTGACTGTGGACTCAGACCCTCCCCCCCCATTAGTTACGGGCGGGGGGGGGGGGGGGCGCAGGGGATACACACCGAGTCAGGAGTCTGTTGAAGCAGCATCTCAATTTATTCCAACAGGCAGGAGGTAGGGGATGGGAATCTTAGGATGGGGTAAGGTGAAGTGAGGAGTTAAGGGCCAATAGTATTCCACCATACAGGCAGGTAGCTAGGCAGGGGGCAATCTTGCATCAGGTCTGGCTGAGTCACCCCACGTGCAGGTTACAGGTCAGAGACAGGTCGACAAACTCTAGCCAGGCTCAGGAGGTTACACTGGGCCTAGCATGCGAGCCTTTGTTAGACCCAGCACATGTTCACGGTGGGTTTCCTGCTGGCTAATGGGACCTTCCTTTCATCGGCTCCTTCTGCCCCCTGCCAGTGTGATCTGAGAGCTCTGAGCTACAAACAGTGTGGTTTGGTAGCTTGTGTGTATGTTTATAGACTTGTCTGCTCTTCTGCATACTTATGTTCCTGAGACAAGTAAATCCTGGGGCCGCCATAAGGTTCCACACATGCAACCTGTGCTTTTCCCAATGGGTATCAGACATCATGTAGAAACCATCTATTGGCTGACTTGGACTGTGTCTTTTTTTAAGGGTTTATTTGTGAATGCATGCATACGTGTGTGTGTGTGTGTGTGTGTGTCTGTCTGTCTGTCTGTATTTGTGTGCACCATGTGTGTGAGTTCCTGTGGAAGCCAGAAAAGGGCATGAGAGCCCCTGGAGTGGGAGTCCCTCAGCGTGAGTTGTAACGTGTATTCTTTCCCGCCAGCCGCTTGGGTCCCCCAAATAACACACGAGACGCTATATTAATTATGAAGCTGTTGTTGGCTTCATAATTAATATAGTGACTTAATTATTAACCCATAACTGCTAATCTAAGTGTTTCCACGTGATCTTCTCTTACCAGAGAAACGGTCCAGACCTCTTCTCCTGTGTTCTACATCGTGACTGACTGTGTCTCTGTTTCCCAGAATCCTCCTCGACTCCTAGTCCCACCTATCTTGATCCCTATTGGCCAACAGTGCTTTATCAATCAATCAAAGAGACAAATACACAGAAGGACTTTACCCATCAGTGAGTACTGAGCACTGAATTCAAGTCCTCTGAAAAAGCCTGGGTCCCAGGTGGCTCTCAGCCTCTCAGCCACAGACTGGCTGGGTTATAGCCCCTCCCTACAAACTTTCAAAAGCAGTATGTCATTCTCCTCCCATGCTTACGTTAACGGTCTGCCTGCTTTGTAGAACTCTGTACCTACGGCCTATGAGAAGAAGCCTGCCATTAGGTCAATTAAAGTGACCATCAGCTCTGCTTGCTAGACAGCTGCCAGTCCGATTAGGTGGACCCTGTGGCCACACTGATCTGGTCTTGAGCACAAAGTGACTTGCACCTCAGGATGAAGGCTCATTGGAAGCAGTGTAGACCGGATGGACACCTGTGGTGTATTTTCTTGTTTATTGACACTTTCCGTGGCTTCTCCAGATGTACACATTTTGTCTAGATAGTGGGAGTTTACGAGGTGAGATGTACCCTGGTTCTTGTCCCTTCAGAAGCAGTGACCCAGGCCCCATTTGTTTTGGAAAAGTTGTTTTCCGGTAGGGTCAGGTACCGCTCTACTGATATAGGTACCTTTGCTGAAATGAAACAGACTAAGAAGGAAAGTGTGACTCAAGCCTGTTTATTCACGGTGACACTTTTCAAATCAGCCTGCTAATGATGACTCCTCTCCCCTCCTCCCACTCAGGTCGGCTTTAAGCCTGCAGGAGGCATCCGCACTGCAAAGGAGTCCCTGGCATGGCTCTCTCTTATAAAGGAGGAGCTGGGAGATGAGTGGCTGACACCTGACCTCTTCCGGATAGGGGCCAGCTCTCTGCTCTCAGACATCGAGAGGCAGGTGAGTGGAGACACTTTGTCCTTGAGAGGAGTGGAGGTTGACCCCGCAGAACCAGGGCTCCACCCCCTTCAAGCAAACCCACACCCACACCTGCTAGAGGTCAGGTACAAGTTCTGCTGAAACGGTTGCGAATGCAGTGCCAAGTGAAATTACTGTTGTGAAATTACTGTTGTGCAATAGGATAACTACTAGCTTAGGTGTACGCTTGCTTAACTATTAACGTATGAAACTGGTTTTCCTCCTAGATATACCATCACGTGACTGGACGGTACGCAGCTTATCATGACCTTCCAATGTCTTAGGTCAGCAGCCAGCCCAGAAAAGCATCTTGCAACAAGTAAAAAAATGTCTTTTGCATAATTGCCAAGGTTATGCAATTTAAGAATAGGTAACTGACTTTTACCCCCATTAAAATCTCCCCTGAAACTAACTCAGGAAAACAAAAGAAACAAACCAATTGAATCTGTATTTGGAGCTCCGATCAAGTGAGGCTGAAATGCTCTTAATTATTAGGAGGTCTACAGTTATTAATTTTATGAAGGTCTTCTCTAAACAACTCTGAATAAAGTGCTTCTAATAGTCCATACTGCAGCAAATTCTGAGGCGAAAATGAAGTTTAATGATTCGAGACAAGAGATTCTAGGGCAGGCAAGAGGGCTTGGTCCAGGACGGGGCTTGCTACCAAACCACAGTAACCGCATGGTGAAAGGGGAAAGCCGGCTCCCGGAAGTTGTCCTATGATGCCCACACATCTGTGTTCCCTACCTCTGATACATAATAAATAAAATGTAATAAAAATTAAAATGTGATACTCATTCTTCCTCTGTTGCCTTGGAAGTGGAGCCCATCCCTGGCTATCCACCTGAGTTTCTGTGGTGGAGGGAATTCTTTAATTGTTTTGCTAAGCAATTCTAATGTCGTTATGAG